CGCTGGGGCTTTCGGTGGAGCTCCCGATGGGACCACGAAGCGCTGTACTGGGCGAGGAAGGCGAGTGCGAACACCGCCACTGGGGCCTTCCGTGGAGCAGCCGATGTGGCAACATAATAATGTACAGTTGTTTTCCTCTCGCTCCTCCTCCTGGGTCAACGCCTCCAGAGGTTCGCCGCCGTCGTAGTCTGTCAGCGCGTCCGCCGACAGAGGTGATACTGGCACGCCCAGCGTGCCGGTCCTGAGAGCCCTGTTGGCCCTAAGGGCCACGAAGAGGGAGAGGACCACGAGGATCGTCGTGATGCTGATAATCTGGATTATCTGATATGGAACGATGGGGAAAGAGGGGCTGGCCGCCGCAAACAGGATTCGCACTCGCGTGAGGCAACTCACTGAATGGCTTGAGCCAAGGCGGCGATCACGCCGCTCTGTCATATACATACCTCGCTACATGATGGGCACTCATGCTTCCCCTCCCTTATCTCGGGAGGACGTCTACACATCAACTCGGGGTGGGAAAACGCAGCGAAAGTCTAAGAGCTGATCCCACGCACACGCACTGAGAGCACAGCAGATCATTTCTTGCGGCTGGCCCGCCACTGGCAACCGACCTCTGACAGGCAAGCCACCAAAAAAATACAACGCTCTATGTTGGAGCACCCTGAACACAACACGGGGACTCCAGAGGCTAAAAAGGGAAAGACGGCTGAAATAAACTCACAAAGAACACCTCGGAGGCTACTGCTAATACCACAGTCGCAGATAAAATCGCAGTTTACTGCCATAGACAAAAATAGCAACGATTGAAGAAAGAAATATAGCGAGAAACAATAAATCTCGCGCAAGCCACATATACGGCCCACCACAGCGTAGACCCGAAAGGATGGGGAAATCTTTTCCCTGCAGATACAGTCGACCAATCGTCGCAGACAATCCTGTAATCCATCAAAATACGCAAAGATCACGATTCACTGATCTTCCCACTCACTGGTATCTTTGCGAGGACCCCGCAAGCGCAGAGCCAGGGGTTCATCTCCGGTTATCATCAACACTGCCGTCTCCCACAACTTCAGGATAGGTTCTCGAGCCAGTCCACCCTTGGTCAACGCGTCGCTGATCACGGCTCTAGTGTCCACCCACCAGAGTTTGTAGAGGGTACCTGCTTCAAGTCTATCGCGTAGAGCGCGCAGTAAATATAAAAGATGAGGTTCCGCTGGTGCCTTCAGTTCTGTTGCACCCAGCGCCGTGAACAGGCCCCGGTTGTCCGTGCACACATGCAAATCAACTGGTAGCCTTCCCGTATCCATACATCGCTGAATTTGTTTCGCCGTCGAAGGACCGTGAACGATCTCACGCACCATCACTTGCGTCAACAGTGCATTGCTGATACCATCATCCACGCTTGCCAGCTCCGCCGAGAAAGTAGAACGACATACTCGGGGTTGCTTTCGTGAGTAGAACTCCACTGCCGCACACAGTCCTCCTTTCGGCATGAAGTCCCGACCAGCAATCGCAATAACTGCCGCTCTCACGGCTAGACAGTCCGGCTCAGTCGCCCGGAAAGCACTGTCGGGGAAACCCACAACACTCCATGGTAGAGGTACTGAATAGTAGACAAGCGAACTCTTCTTTCTCTTGATCCATCGTACAGCTGAGTTCAAGTGTCGAACATGTTCCCAGCAAGGTTCGTGAGCGTGGCGTTGTAGGTATCCAATGTGGACTGCAACATCTGCTCGCGTGACTAACATCCAGGCTGCTCCACCCAAGAGTGACCAAAATGAAGTTCGGTCTTGAGCATCGAGGGCTTCGTCATCAGCTCGAACCGTGTCTACCTGCATCGGCCGAAATTGAGCCGCGTAGTGATCCTGAGAGCACCACACAGATCCGTCTTCATGCTGATCATGAACAACGCCACAGTGCTCGAACCTTCTCTTTTGCCTTGTGAGCTTCCCGAACTCCGACTCGAGAGCATCCATAAAGGCGTCAGCAACCGGTTCGGTCGAGGCGCCCTTGAGGTCGTCCACGCGTGTACTGCACACCATCTGCAAGTCCTCGATCGCTATCTCCGGGTCGGTGAATGACACGTCTGCGCCTCGGGCCTTGTCCTCGTCCGCGTTCATGGGTACCAGCTCACGAGGTACAGGTTCACATCGAGAGCCAGCCCACTTGCAGTAGACTTGTGAATCTGTCACCAACGGCAAGAGTTGAAGCTTCGTCATTACCTGCTTTCGCCTGAGATTCCATAACCTTGGCGCATCCTTGAGACCGAAACCTGGACGTACCATCTCTAAGCAGTGCTGACTCACATCATAGTTAGATAATGGTTCAAACTGCCTTGCGATCTTCACCGTGTCCTTGGGCAGGTCCAACTGAACAGTTCTGATGGGGCTCCCCTGTCATATCTGCTACATCTTGAAATGTGAGTCCCTTCAGAAAGGCGCTGCCAACATCACAAGACCACAACACCCACTTGGGGCGACTTGCCGCGATGAAATTCACTATCCTCTGACTTTGCCTCGAGGCGGTCGCACTGAAGGTATCCAGACGATCCTGCTGTAGATCTTTGAAGCCCTTGATGCACAGTCGCGCTTTGACTGCCAACTTACCGTCTGGCTGCTTCTTCCAACGGATCACCCATCGAGAGTCCATCAAGTTGGTGCACCCTATCCTGCTTCGTTGCTTGAGAGCACCCAATTCAATCCAGTTGCCTAGCTCCTTCGACATGGCCTTTTCCACTTCCACTCGATGCTTGATCAAGTCATCCTTGTTGAGTTCGCCAGCCTCTCGTTCAATAACCATCTTGGTCTTCCCCGTCGAGTTAACGGACAAAATCACACGATGGCCCCCGTCGTTCGCAAAAAGAAAGAAGATCTCAGACTTAGGCAACTTGTGTTCATCGATGGTCAGGATCACAAGCCTGGAGATCTCTGATTCGAACTCCACCTCCAGAACTTGCATCTCCTTCTCTGTATTCTCAAGATAAGTAGCCACCTCGACAGCTTCCAACACTCGAGAATCCAACCAATACTCAGCGTCCGGTGGTGATTGGCTGTCAAGGATAGCGACAACGAAGCTGAACTCTGTCCTCACGTGTTGCATCCATCCGGGATCACAGGGTTCCAGCCACAGGTCCTGCACATCTGAGTTGGCGTCTGGCTCTATCCGATAGGGCTGTTGAAATGGTCGCCACGTCGGCCTTAGCAGTTCAGGGTCCGCCTCCGCATCTCGCGGATGAGCCACCCCTTGAGCCTGGGGTTCAGATGCCTCTGACTCCTCGTCGATGGTGGCCTCTGGAGTGGGCCAACGATGCCATCGATCCGGTCGTTCTCCCACATCATGAGGATCACGAGGTCGCACTTGACCGCGTGGTGCTGGAAAGTCGGGCATCTGTTGAGGACCTCCAACATGTGGTACGTGAACGTCAATCTGTCGCAAGACCTCGGCCGTAGAAATTTCCACCATTAGAAACTGCACCCAGCACACGCGTCCAAAGCCTGGCCCCATCAGGTGTTGCGTACTAGCCTTCGCTCGAGGATCGAAACTTGCATGGTGATAGCCAATCGATTCCCCTGGAAGCCACCATACGATCATGCACGTGTGATGTCCTCGGGCAGCTGGAATTTCTCGCGAACCGTACCCTAGTCTCGTGGCCACGACTCCATATAATTGAAAATCGCAGGCGGCCGCGTGGAAAGCTGCTGTCGTCAGAGTAGGCAGCCGACGGCTGGTCTTCGTCATCCTCCAGTGTCCATCTTCGCCGGTCTCATATCTCAGGAATAACGTAGTGCCCGCCGCCATGTTCTCCACGTAGTATACTAAGATCTGGTACGGCTTGGTGTCACCGCGGTCAGGAGCCGCCATGAGAGTCCACCGTGTCGCTGCCCTTCGAACATCTGCTGGGCGGCACGGTAGCGTGCGACCCTGCCATCGGACATCGATGATGCCCTCGTCAGCTCGGTCCATGGGAATTGCCTTGCAGGGTCCTCGCCAGCCAGTGACATCCTTGTCCGGCGGGTCCCTGAAGATATCGACCGAGTCTCCTACACGAAGATCTCCGAGCTGAGCCGCTGGTCTCGTTCGCGTTCGAGCTGCTATCTTCAGTCTTTCCTGCGCGTTGCCCTGCACGATGTTGGCGAGAGCCAGCTCCCTGACTCGATGAACATGACGAGACACGGCGCCTCCAGACTCGTCGTCGAACTCGGATCCTCCCCCTCCGAGCTCCAGTAGAATGTTCGGAACCCGACCATACAAAGCCGCATATGGCGTGGTCCCGTGAACGCTCAAGAGGGTGTTCATAGCCAACAAGGATTCGTCCAGCAACTCTTCCTTCGAAACTTTAATGCCTTCTTCATTTGCTTGACTTCGAACTCGGTGATACTGTGTCCGGAGTAAGTCATTCCTCCTTTCAATAACACGAGCATGTGCTCATTTGGGCTTCGGCCGCAAATCCACCTTCCATCGATCTGCCCAGATAGCTCCTTCGTCCGAGAACAAGGCTCCCTCCTGATCCGAGGTGATGAACTTCGGAGGACCGTGGACTCGAAACCAGATATGAGTGATGGCCGGGAGAACATCACCCGGCTCCTTTGACTTCACAAGGAGCCCTTGAGCCCACCTGATACACATGTCGATCAAGTGCACCACGATGCCGCCGTCCAGGAAGAGCAGATCAAACTGAATCCCTTCATTGAAGGTCGTGGTAAACGTCAAACTTGTCACCGACTTTTCGCCTCGTCGCTGCCATTCCCGACAGACGGTGCAAGTGTCCACGACGTCCTGCACCATATTGATCACTTCTCGTGGTAGACCCGCGGCCGAAAGCAGGTCTCGTAGTCGTTGGGCTGGAGCGTGCCATAGTCGTATATGCATGCGACGTAGAGTACGTTGTACCATCCCAGGAACCGCTGATCTCAGCCCCTGAATAGCATGTCCCATGTCCCACTGCGTCCAGTCCGCTCCTGTGTCGATCTGGGCCATGGCATCTTGAAATCTGCGTCTTCTCAGTGCCACCTCGTCTCCGCTTGCCCGGGCCGGATGTCCCGGTTCTCCAACAGGAAGAACGGCTTCCTCCGCTGCTGCAGCCGGGGCCGCTCCCGAGGGTCCAGCTTCAGGATGAGGTCGCACGTCATCATCTCCTTCCCCGGCGGCGGCAGGAGCAGCACCTGAGGGTCCGGCTTCAGGATGCGGTGTTACGTCATCCTCTTCTTCTCTTGCTCGGGGATGTACTCGATGACCGGCACCCGCAGCTCGTGCTGCCGGTACTCGCGGATCCCGCGCATGTGCTGATCCCGATCTTCTCGTCCCAATCAGCCTGGGCTCGTCCATGGGGAGGCGACAGTCAGTATCGTAAGTGTGGCGGGGATCATACCGATCCCGACCCGTTCTGCATGCGGGGCAGTTGTACTCCAGCGGCTGTGCCCGCGGATGCCGACACTGTCCAGGTATGCGGTTGTGTGAGGGATGAGTGCTGACTCGATTTCTCCGACATCCTGGACAGAGATGAGGTCCGATCGCTGCCCTACGAGCGCGCGGATCCAGTACTTCTTCGGGTGCAGGCGATGGCGGAGGTACATATGCTGCCGCTGCCGCTGCTGCTGCTGGGGCTGGTAGTCCAGGTGGAGGATGGTCAAGAGGAGCGGGTACTCCCTCTCCATTTATCCTTGGGTACGCCGCCACAGTTGGGTAGATCAGCTTCCTCAAGTCCAATTCGTGAAGCCATATCAACTCTGAGATGCCGTCGGCCAAGATACGAGCGAATTGCCATGTCCACACCTGTGAAGGCTTGGTGTCACGTCCAGAGCATTCCCCATGCCGATGCCGTCGATCACACTCCTTAGAACGCAGCCGATAGATCAGCACCTCGTGACTCGCCCATACCTCCTCCGGCTTATTCAAAGGCTCCTTCTTCGAGTTGACGAGCCCCAGCATGCACATGTTGAACTGAACCCATGTGAGATTATTCCTGGCCAGGCCCATCCATTCTGGAGTTCGATAAATACAGCTTCCCCTCGGCAACTCATTCACGTAGCGGCGTCCTCCGTCTAGCTGAATGTGAGCCGCCTTCGCACAAATCTGTCCCAGCCTGAAAGAGACCTCCGCATTGCGACGGTGCACCTCGCTGCCGATCGACTCGTTGACCGTGCACCATCCAGCTGTGCCAGTACATTGAGGAGCCATCACCAACACAAAGGGTCGCTCCTCCTTCAGATATTGGTAAAGCTCCATTTCCTCGTCACGCTGAAGGAGAACGACGCCCATAAGAGCATCAAAGTTACGACCTCCCGCGTAATGTCGTCGAACGAGTAGTTGAGTTGCGCGTCCTTCTCCTCCCGTGATTTCGGCCACACCAACGAAGAAACTATTATCGGTCTGCTTCGTGTGATTCAGAAAAGATCGACCCGAGGGGATGCCAAGGAAGTGTCGTTCTCGATCTGGCGGACGGTCGTCTCGAAGTCTTCCGACGATATCATCCGTCTTGAACTCGCTGGGTTCCAGATAGTAATCCTCCACCTCGTTGCCCGGCATCTCCCACCAGCACACCTCCTCGTTCCGTAGATAGTTGAGCTCTCCGAGGTCCTCGCCACAGTCATCCATGACTTCGGGATCTAGAATCCGCTTGACCTTCTTCTTCGGTGCGTGCCCCTGGGCCTTCCGGGACTTCAGCTTCTCCTTGTAGGCCTTGGCAGAGTCGGTCGGATAGAAGCTGACTGTCTTTGACTTCGTCGCCACCATGTGGGAGTCAACGGGCTCATCCGGCCCCGTCTGCGGATATCGTGCCTCTCGTTGAGTGTCAGTGTCGTCGCGTACTTCTCCTCGAACCGCATCGAACAGCTTGTCTCGAAGTCGGTTCTGCCAGAAGGCGGTCAGAAACTGACCTTCAAGCTGAACGTGCTCCAACCCTGTCGATCTGCGGTGACCTGAGCTCTTCCGGCCGCAGCTGCACGAGTCGGGAAGCAAGCCCAGGTTGGAGAAGAATCTCTGGCTGGTTGTCGGGGCCATGTCCTTGCCCGACGTCAGGTAACTGCACCATCGATGATCTGTCATCCGATATCCTGGCAGGGTCGTTGCCGTCGCTCTGAGAATATCATCCTCCTGCCAGGCTTCACTCGTAGCTTGAGAATCGACCACCAGCACGCACCGAAGCTGAATCAAGCGCGCGATGAGTATGGAGGTCGCCATCAATCTTTGCTTTTGCTTTCGTGTCTTCCCTTGTCGTCTCGTAACGTCCGGTATGAGGAAATGCAGTCGCATCCAAACGCCTCGGCACTTCCCTCGCTCCAAGAGTCGAAGAATATGCTCCATGGTCGAGGTGTGCAGAAGACTTAGGCGGGTGTAGGTGATGTTGGCCTGACTCAGCAACTTCGTGCGGATCGGATGGCCATTGTCCTCGTCTATCGCTATGATCTCTGGGTCCTGCTCGGGGACGTCCAGATGCCAAGCTATATGATTTCCTGCGGCACCGCCGCCGCCTGGTAGCGGCGGTCCGCACCCTCAGTGCACCGCAGGCGCCGAGGGGGTGGCCGGCGTCGGCTCATGCGTCGGCAAGTCTGCCTCGTCCTCCTTCGCCTTATCTTTGATCATGGGCCGGGTGACTGCGGGCGCACTCGCATGCCAAGTGGCTGGCCCCTGCTTCGCGCGCACCTTCTTATCCTTACCGTTGCCGAAGAAATGCGAGATAGGCAACAGCAAATGTCCTGATCGCGAGTCCTCAAGATTGAAGGTGAGCGTCCCCGGCGGTGGCGTGAACTGTACTCTTCCAGGGCCACACTGGTACAATTTGTTGTTGATCATGTCGACCACCGCTCTGTTGTGCTTCAGACTACGCTTTCCCCAGAGAGCGGGAATATCTGAATCAGGAACCACTGGGGCCTTGTAGCTTATCTGATGCACCTTACCTCGCTCGTCCTTGTCTGCGCCTGGCATCGTCACCTCATCCTTGGCGATCTGAGCATTGGTACCGACTCCTTCAACCCCGATCGATTGATCCATCAGATGTTGCGTCGGTTCCAAGCATGCCCGTTTTGCCAGAGCTCCCATTCGCATAACCCATCTGTCACCCACCAAATTGTCATACGCACCTGGATCGATCAATAGGCACTCCTTACCATCGATTTGGGTCGCCTCTAGAAATACCTGTCGTGCCTCATCGTATCGCTCGAACACCGGCCCCACAAACCACTTCAATCCAGCGGACTTGGTTCCTGAGTCGATCTGCTCGCTGTTGGACTGCGGTTCGACAAGAGTTGCCTCTGGGTCCGGGTCATCCATGATCCGAGCCTTCGCCTGTTCAATCATCTGAATCGTCTCGTTGCCGATGTCCACGAATTCCGAGGGAGTCGAGAGCAAATCCCAGGATGCGGATGAAGCACAGTCACGGCGGGCCCCCTCTTGAAGGTCTGGTCGTGCATGCGACTCGCACAGGCGCGAGCCCTCCTCCTCCACGTCCGGGCAGTAGCTGTCCTCGTACTCCTTCTCGTCATCCTTGGACACGTCCACTTGCGACTCCATGTTGCCCGGCATGGCAAAGAAGTGTCTGGTCGCCGTAGACGCTGCCGGTTGGCCCGTGAGCTGCTGCCAGCGCTGCAAAGCGCTGGAGAAGCTTGAAGCTGGTTGGGCTCCTCCTGTACTCATATTCCCCTCTGTCGTCACATAGCCCTTTTCTCCTGAGGTAGCCCGTTTCCGTCGGTTGTCGTCAGCTCCCGGAGCGTCGCACTTCCTCCATAGGTGCTTCTCGCTGTTGCAGTGATCACATCGAAGTGGCTGTCCGTTCGCGCCCCTCGGGTTGGTCTTCTCGCCCTTGCGCTTGCAGTATTCATGGGTGTTCCACGTGCGCCCGGGGCAAAGAGCTCCGTCTCCTGCTTCAGAAAGAAAAGACCATCCGCTATTTCTCTGAAATCTGACCCCTTTCTTGCCCTTGCCTTTGCCTTTGTATCTACGACGCCTTGGAAGTCTGCCCGCTCGCCTCCTCCAGTGCTTCTTGGCCAAAGCGTATACTTCATACAGGTCGCTGTCGCTCATCTGGGCACTGATGTGGAAAGTCGACTCCGCCAAATCGTTACCGTCATCATCGCTCGTCTCGGTGGAGTCAGGGTCTTCCCGGTCGTAGAATATCTTGTGGCAATTGCTGCACCAGCATCCTTCAGTATTTGATCCATTCGATACCCCAGCCACTCCGCCGAGCGGTCCATCTGGCCTCGACGAGGACGATGCGCTGGGGTAGTAGGGCATCGGTGGCGGTGGTACTCCCACTTGGGTGCCAGTGTCCTGTGAATTGTCCGTGAAGTAGAAGCCGTCACCGGAGCCTGTGGGGTTCGTGAAATGCGAATGGGATTGATGAGCTGCCTGCGCGAGTCCACTTCGCTCGTAGAGATGATTCTGACGTCTGATAAAGGAGGTAAGACTTGAAAGCTCCTGTTCATTCGTCGGTGAGTTACCTCCCGTAGGTGCCAGAAACTGAGCCCACTGCGGCGGTGGAATACCAAGAGCACTGAGTGACATCCAAGTCAAATTCGGGATTCCCATGTGGAAATTTCCCAGATGCTCAGCCTTGAACTTCAGGAGATCGAATCGAGCCAAAGCTTGGTCAATCGGTTCGCCTGGCCGTCGCCGAAAAGCAACCAGGTCTGTCATGCTCGCGATAGCGGTCCCCACCTCCAGTGGCATGAACTTGCGTCGCAGCCCGTGAATCAATAGGTCCAGCCCCGAACACCATCGATGTCCAGCTCCATCCCAGAGGTCCATGTAGACTCCGTCTTGTAGTTGATCTGGCGGCACTTCTCTCGATATTTCTCTGGCCAATCCTGAAAGCTGCAAGACCACGGCCGGAGCGATCGAACGTGCCGGTATATCTGTCATAGCTTCCCACATGCGGATGTCCGTGATCCAATCACGGAGTGGATATGAGGACTCCCTTGCGGGGTCCCAGCTCGGTGGCGTCTTCGTATTCGACTGCATGATATGAGGTCCAGCTGGTATGCCACCGGTCATCTGCGGGGCGTTCGCCATGACGTAGTCGTAGTAGCGCAGTGGTATCTTGTCTGGGGAGCAGGCACGGGATCGCACCTGCTCCGCTACCAAGTTGTTTTCCTCTCGCTCCTCCTCCTGGGTCAACGCCTCCAGAGGTTCGCCGCCGTCGTAGTCTGTCAGCGCGTCCGCCGACAGAGGTGATACTGGCACGCCCAGCGTGCCGGTCCTGAAAGCCCTGTTGGCCCTAAGGGCCACGAAGAGGGAGAGGACCACGAGGATCGTCGTGATGCTGATAATCTGGATTATCTGATATGGAATGATGGGGAAAGAGGGGCTGGCCGACGCAAGCAGGATTCGCACTCGCGTGAGGCTACTCACTGAATGGCTTGAGCCAAAGCGGCGATCACGCCGCTCTGTCATATACATACCTCGCTACATGCTGGGCACTCATGCTTCCCCTCCCTTATCTCGGGAGGACGTCTACACATCAACTTGTACTGGGTGGGGGAGACGCATGCGAACACCGCCAGTAAGGCCTTCGGTGGACCTCCCTATGGGGCAACGAAGCGCTGTGCTGAGTGGGGGAGACGCATGCGAACACCGCCACGCAGGCCTTCGATGAAGCTCCCCATGGGGCCACGAAGCGTTGTACTGGGCGGGGAGAAGCACGCAAACATCGCCACTGAGGCTTTCGGTGGAGCCCCCTTTGGGGCAACGGAACGCTGTGCTGGGAGGGGGAAGCGTCAGCGAAAACAGCCACTGGGGCCCTCGGTGGAGCTCCTATGGGGCAACGAAGCGCTGAACTGGGTGGGGGAGGCGCAGGCGAACACCGCCAACGGGCCTTCGGTGGAACACTTTATGGGGCCACGAATCGTTGTATTGAGTGGGAGGGACGCATGCGAATATTGCCACCGATGTCTTAGGTGGAGCTCCCCACGGGGCCTCGAAACGCTGTGCTGGGCGGAAGAGACGCATGCGAACACCGCCACTGGGGCCTTCGGTGGAGCTCTTCATAGGGCCACGAAGTGCTGTGTTGGGCGGGGGGACGCATGCAAGCACCGCCGCTGGGGTTTTGAGTGGAACTCCCTATGGGGACATGAAGCGCTGTGCTGGGCAAGAGACGCATGCGGACACCGTTACTGAGGTCTTCAGCGGAGATCCGTATGGGGCCACGTAGCGCTGTACTAAACAAAAAAGACGCATGCGAACATTGCCAATGAGGCCTTCGGTTGAGCTCCTTATGGGGCCCCGAGGCGCTGTACTGGGCGGGGGGGACGCCATGTGAACACTGCCATTGGGGCCTCCGGTGGAACTCACGAAGTGGCAACGAAACGCTGTATTGGGCGGAGGAGACTCATGCGAACACGGCCACTAGGGCCTTCGGTGGAGCTCCCTGTAGGGCCATTTGGCCTGTATTGGACCGGGGAGACGCATTCGAACACCGCCGCGGAGGCCTTCGGTGGATCTCTTCAAGGGGCCAGGAAACGCTGTACTGGGCGGCGGAAGCGCGGCAGGGGTGACGCATGCAAACACCGCCACTGGGGCCTTCCGTGGAGTTCCCTCTGGGGCAACGAAGCGCTGTTGTGGGTGGGGGGAATGCATGCGAACACCTGTACTGGGGCCTTCGGTGGAGCTCCCTGAAGGGGCAACGAAACGCTGCACTGGGTGTTGCAAACGCATGCGAACACCGACTGTAAGGCCTTCGGTGGAGCTCCCTATGGGGCCTCGAAGCGCTGTAATGGGCAGAGGAAGCGCATGCGAACATCGCCACTGGGGCCTTCGAAGGAGCTCACGATGGGGCAACGAAGCGCTGTGCTGGATTGGGGAGACGCATGCGAACACCGCCACTGGGGCCTTCGGTGGAGCTCCCTCAGGGGCAACGAAACGCTGCACTGAGTGGGGCAGACGGATGGAACGCAGCCACTGGGGCCCTCGGTAGAGCTCCCATGGGGCCACGAAGCGTTGTACTGGATGGGGGAGACGCATTCGAACACCGCCGCAGAGGCCCTCGGTGGGGCTCCTTCTGGGGCTACGCAGGGCTGTTTCGGGCGGAGACGCAAGCGAACAGCGCCACTGGGTCCATCTTTTTGGAGCTCCCTAAGGGGCCACGAAGCTCCGGAAGGGTGTGCCGAAATTTTTGGCTGGCGCGGAGGGCAGGGGCAGGGATTGGAGGGAAGAGGAGGGGAAGGATGAGGGAGGAGGAAGGAAGAGGAGACGCAGGGCGCTGTCTCTCCAAAGGAGGACCCAAGACCACAACATCGTTTGGGGAAAACGTGTGTGTGTGCGTGTGTGTGTGCGTATGTGTGTGTGTGTATGTGTATGTGTATGTGTGTATGTGTGTATGTGTGTATGTGTGTATGTGTGTATGTGTGTATGTGTGTATGTGTATGTGTGTGATGTGTATGTGTGTGTGTGTGCGTGCGTGTGTGTGTGTGCGTACACACACACACACTTTTTGCGTCGGCGGCTGGGCAGAGGGTGACTGCCTCCCCCGGCGGAATGGCAGCAGGGGACACGCTGTATGAATATCAAGGCCGCACTGCACGGAGGACGAAGAGGAGCCCCGGCGCTATAGGGAGAGAGGAAGATGCGAAGGGAGCGCCGAGGCACAGCACCACACACACACACACACGCGCGCACACACTTTTTGAGCGTCGCGGGCCGGGCCGGGCCGAGCCACGGGCTTCCGAAGGCTGCCGCGCAGGCACGCGCGCGCAGCCGGCGAGGAGAGAGATAGCGAGGAGCCGCGCGGTGCAGCGCAGGCCGAGAGCCAGCCAAAAAGTGGTGACGACGAGGGGCCAGCAAGACAGGCGCAAAGGGGGCCAAGCAAAGCGAGGAGGGGAGCGAGGAGCGAGGAGGGGAGCGAGGAACGAGGAGGCAAAGCGAGGAGGGCAGCGAGGCGGGCAGCGAGGAGCAAGGAGCGAGGAGGGGAGCGAGGAGCGAGGAGGAGGAGGGAGCCAGCCAACGCGAGGAGGGGAGCGAGGAGCGAGGAGGCAAAGCGAGGAGGGCAGCGAGGAGGTAAGCGAGGAGCGAGGAGAGAAGCGAGGAGCGAGCAGCGAGGAGGAGGAGGAGGGCGCCGGGCGAAGCGAGGAGGGGCGCGAGGAGCGAGGAGCTGTCGAGCAGCCGAGGGGTGCAGACGGGCGGGCGCAAGGGGCCAGCGGGCCGACCGACGGGGGCGGGGGGGGAGCCGAGGGGAACAGGGGAAGCATCACACAACACAAAGGGCAAGGAGGCAAGCCTTGGCTCGGGCGGGTCCCCCTGCAGGGGGATCTTGGGCGAAAGGTAGGCAATGCCCCAACAACAACTCCAGCATGCGCACACATACTCCAAAACATCGTCCCCCGAGGATGTTTTGACTATTCTTGGATATTCCTCCTGTAGAGGGACAAGCCCGACTCAAAGCAAGACGCGGAGAGGGGAGGAGAAGAACCAGCCGAGGACGCAGGCGGAGAGAGATGGCAGGGAGGCACAAACACAAAAGGCAGGCCAGCAGCACGCGAGGGTGGGCAAATGCGCCGCGCAGAAGCGGGCCGAGCCTCCGGAGGGGGGCGGCAGCGGGGGGGAAGGGCGATTTCTCGAAATTCAACCATTCGTTAGAGCTCTAGTATTTTGTTCCCCCCATCTTCGATCTTATTCCCGCTCGCCGTCTTACTCTCAGGTCGATCGGGTACCTACTACTGCCCAAAAGCGGACGACACGCGTCTCCCCCACCCGGTACAGCGCTTCGCGGCCCCTCAGCTTGCGGAGCTCCACCAAAGGCTCCACTGGCGCTGTTCGCAGGCGTCTCCCCCGCCCGGTACAGCGCTTCGCTGGTCCCGTGTGGGGGCTCCACCGACGACCCATCATAGGTCTCGCGGCCCCACGGAGCATCCCACCCAGAGGGGACGATACGACCGCCAGGAAAAAAGGACGAGGGCAAGAAGGCAGGTGGTGGGCCCCCCCGGCCCAGGGGTGCAGAGGCAGGCGGACTGCCCCTCCCCCCCCTCTCCCCCCGCGAGGGTCACCATCGCGGGGTCGCGCGGCCCGGGATGCTGGAGAGCTCCCGACGCACCAGACACAGCAACCACGCGCCTGCTCCGCGAGCGTGGCGGCGAGTCGCCGTCGCAGCGACCACGCGGCCCGGGCTGCCTGCGGCCACGAGCAGGCGGCTCGCGCGGCAGCGCGCACGGGCCAGCACCGCGATGGCAGCGGAACCCATCGGACAGCTCGCGCAGGAAGCTGGGCGCAGGAGGAGCGACCAAAAGAGCCTGATGCGAAGACGATCAGGTCGGGCCTGTCCCCCCTGCAGGGGGGGCTTTGGACGAGAAGTAAAAAAAATACCCCACACTGCTCAGATAACACTCAAACTTCGTCAAAGCAAAATCCCCAGACTGCTGTTGGACTGCAGTATTTTTGAATACTCCTCCTGTAGAGGGACAGGCCCGACTTAACGATGAGCGCGGGTGCCACATACGCGCAGACACGTTTTCCTCCGGCGCGCCGCTGCTTGCGCTCGGCCGGTCGAGTTGCACCGAGGGAGGGGCACGCTCAAAAAGCAGACCGACCACACCCAGCGGGAGATAGGCCCACAGGCCAGGGCAACCCCTGTCAGCACCCGCGGAGAGGAGCAGCCGTGGAGCGGTTCGAAGGCGAAGAAACGGCAACGAACGGCGGTCCGCGCGGACTGCTTGGACAGGCGCCGGACCCCCCTGCCTTGGCGCGCGGGGCACGTCGAGGGCGGCGACAGAGGCGACGCCTGGGGGCTCCAGCGCCGATCCGTACAGTCGGCCCGTGCCGTTAGGTTGGGCGTGTCCTCCTGCAGGCGGATTTTGGACGAGAATTATATAAACTTTCAAAAGTGGTGAAAAATAATAGTAAAATCGTCCCCTGACTGTTGTTTAACTATTTTTGAATATTCGTCCTGTAGAGGGACGTGCCCGACTTCACCGTACCATAAGGATGCGCGATGAGGATGCAAGGGCGGAGGTCCCTTTCGAAGCCTCTCGAGCGGGGCGCGGCCAGCGAGAGTGGCCACGGATGGGCCGAAGGGGCAGGGGATGCCGAGGTACCCTCCGGAAGGTTGCCCTTCCTTGACACGCGGGTTGACTGTGTGCAGGCTTCTCCTCTCCAGATCGGGGTCGGAGACTTGCGGCCTCGGGGTCCCCCTGGTAGAACGGCTGGGCGACGCTGGTCACCACGGCGCCCTTCCAGTCCTGCACGGCCCACGGCCCGCGCGGCGCTCCCATCTCCCCTCCCCCCATCCCGCCTCCGCTCGAAGCGGGGGCGGGGGGGGAGGAGGAGAGCACGGAGGGGAAGGACAGGAGATGCGAGCCTTGATCTCGGCGGCATCGCCTCCTCAGCCCCGTCGCACCGAGGACGACCGCCAGGGGTGGGGGCCAGGGCCGCACTGCAGGAGGAGAGGGGGCGGGACGGAAGAGGAGAGGAGGAGAGGAAAGGGACGAGGGAGAGGGAACGAGGAGGGGAGGAGAGGAGGAGAGCAGGAGAGGGATGAGGCAGGGGGGGAATGGAGAGGCAGAGGGGGGACTGGGGAGGAGGGAACACTGGGGAGAGGACAGGAGGAGTGGAGGGGGGAAGGGGGGAGGGTGGCGAACAGCATGGCGAACTCCGCCGCCGGGGGTCCGAGCGCAGGCAGGAGCAGCTCAAGGCGAGGCGCTGCCGATCGTGGGGGGCAACGGACCCCCCCCCCTCTGCTTCTCCTGCTGCTCCTCATCCTCGTGTTCCGCTCTCCCTCCCACTCTCTCTCTCTCGCTCCCCACTCTCTCTTGTTCTGTCTCTCTTTACCTACATATATATACATAATATATATATATATATGTATATGTATGTATATATATATATATATATATGTATATGCCTCTCTCTCTGATGCAGACTGCATGTACGCACGTGCGTGCATTCATCGATGAGTGTGCGTATATGCATGCATGTCCTTACGTGCGTTGTCTCGTTGGGCTATCTCTATATATATATATATGTGTGTCGAGATCTGTGTGTACACATGTATGCCCGTCTGTCTGTCTGTCTGTCGGTCGGTCGGTCAGTCTGTATGCATCCCTGCATGCATGCATGCGTGCGTGTATGACGGCATGTATGTATGTACGCATGTTTGCATGCATGCCTGCATGCATACGTGTATGTACATGCATGTATGATTGTAGGTATATGTGCATGTATGTGTGTTTGTTTGTATGCGTGTCTGTATGTGTACATGCATGCATACATGTGAGCGTGTATGTGTGCATGTACGTCAGTATGTAACCATGTGTGGTTGCGTGTATGTGTGTCTGTATGCGTGCATGTATGCACATGTGTAAGTAGTCGTGTATGCCAGTACGTGTGCGTGTGTTTGTAGACATGGCTGTATGTGGATATGCATGTGTGCATGCATGCATGCATGCAATTATGCATGTGTGGCTGTATGCATGCACGTGTATAAGTGAGTGTGTGTGTGTGTATCGATGCGTGCATGTATGTATGTGTGTGCATGTATGCATGTATGTAAATATGCATGTGTTAATGTATGTTAATGTGCATACATGTATGCACATATGCATGCATGTATGCATGTATATTTGCATGCATGTATGTATGCGCGCATGCATGCATGTATGTAGGTATGTGCGCATCTATATATGTGTTCATGCGCGTACGTATGTACATACCACACGACTTCAAATATGTACACAGCGGAAGCCAGTCTCCCAGAGCTCCGCTCGATGCTGGAGCGCCCCCACCCCCCCCCACACCAGCGTGGGGCGACAGACGCCGAGGATGCAGAGGACGACAAAGATGCAGATAGAGACATAGAGGAGGGCGAAGACGGAAACAAGGATGGCGAGACCGAATAACGAAGAGGAGGGGGGGAGAAGATTAGAGGGGGAGAATGAGGAGGAGAAGCAAGAAGAATAAGAGCGGAACGAGGACGAAGAGAGGAGGAGGGGGCGGAGGGGGAGGGGGAGGAGGATGAGGAGGCGGAGGAGGAGGAGGAGGAGGAGAAGGAGGAGGAGCAGGAGGAGGAGAAGGAGGAGGAGGAGGAGGAAGGGTTGGAGAGGAGGAGGAGGAGGAGGAGCAAGAGGAGGAGGAGGAGCAGGAGAAGGATGGGCACGAGAACGAGGAGGAGGAGAAAGGGAGGTGGAACAAGAGAGGGCGAGAACGGGGCGAGGATGCAGCGCCGGAGGGGGGAGGGGGTTGGGAGCCGAGAGAGCCGAAGGCGGTCACCCGTGGGCCAGGAAGGGGCAGGGTGGCCAGGGACGCACGGACCAGGGTCGGTGCAAACCAGGGCCCGTCGGGCTCTGCAGGGTCCTGCCAGATCGTGCAAGATGCTGCAAGATCCTGCACGCACGCCCGGCTCAGTGCACCCCTGGCCTCCAATCAGGTCGGGCGTGTCCTCCTACAGGCGGATTCTGAACAAACATGAAAAATACAAGAACAATCGCCAAAAAATATTCAAAAGCACACAGGGAATAGTCCCCTGACTATTTTTGATGAGTTATTTTCGGATGCTCCTCCTGTAGAGGGACGTGCCCGACTTAAGCCTCGCAGGACCCTGCAAGATCCGGCACCCTGGCGGACCCCCGTCTGCATGGAGCCCCGTCGCAGGGCTCCCGAGGTGGTGACTACTGGGCGTCCTCGCCGGGTGCGTACCCCAGGATGCCGAAGTTGGAGTCGGGCATCGTGACCTGCGTCGTCTGCCCCTTGGCGGAGGCCGTCTTGATCATCGGCTCGTCCTCCCCGGACCCGAGCAGGTCCTGGGCGCGAGGGGCCGCGGCGCCGGCGCATCGCGCCGCGACCTGTCGGCCCGCCTCCCCCTCCTTCCAAGGAAGATCGTCCGCCTCCACCGCCGCATCCCCCCTCCCCGCCCCCCTCTCCCGCGGGTCCCCCCTCTTCCGGTCCCTCCTCCTCCTCCCCGTTCCGTCCCCGTTCCGTTCACCTTCCACTCCATCCCCCCCTTCTCACCCCCCTGCTCTTCCCTCACCTCCACTTCCTCCTCCCCCCCGTCTCCCTCCCTCCCCAGCTCCCCTACTCCTCCCGCCTTCTCGTTTTTCTTCCTTCCCCTCCTCCTCAACTCTCTCGCCTTCTCTCTCTCTCTCTCTCTCTCTCTCCCTCTCTCTCTGTCCCTCTCTCTTTCTTTCTCTTTTCCCGGAGGAGGAGCGATCTATTGGAGAGGAGCAATCTATTGGAAAAAAACGTCTCGCTCGAGACATCTGCAACAAGTTCTGCGAAACAAGCGTTTCGCTCGAGACATCCGCAACACACGAACATGTTCACTTCATCATGTATTTCACCGTTCGGATGTTGAAGAGGAAAACGGCGTTTCGCGAGGGACATCCTCAAGTTTTAGCCGGCCCTCTTCGACCACGTGATTTATCATGTACCCAATCCGCCGACCCTCTTCGAACTTGGCAACCGGGACACACGTGGGCTCCTAACGGCCCAGAGCAGAACAAACTTGAAAGCACATGGGCTTCTAACGCCCCAGAACGGGAAAAACTTGAAACACACATGGGCTCCTAACGCCCCAGAGCGGGACAAGCGTGAAACCACTGGGGGGCCCTCACGCCCTAGGTCGGGACAAGCGTGAACACACGTGGGTTCCTAACGCCCTAGACTGGGAGAAGCGTGCAAACACGTCGGTTCCTAACGCCCCAGAGCACGACAAACGTGAAAACAATAGGGGGTCCTGACACCCTGGGTCGGGACAACCATGACAACGCATAGGTCCCCAACGCCCCAGAGCGGGACAAACGTGAAAACACATGGTCTTAGCTGCCCCGATACGCAACACGCAACACGTATCGTATTGATACGGAGCTCAATACATAGGCTGAAAACGTAGGTCCGACGCGGTACACTTGCCAAAACGTGGTCGAATACGTGGAACCAACACGCAACGTATTGACACGGACGTCTTGAACACGGGACGTATTGCGTTTCAAAACGGACGTATCGAGACAACTAAGCACATGGTTCGTAACGCCCCAGAGCAGGACACGCGTGAAAACAGTTGGATCCATAACGACCCAGAGCAGGACAAGCGTGAAACATGGGTCCGAACGCTCCAGAGCGGAACACGCGTGACAACGCATGGGTTCCTAACGCCCCAGAGCTGGACAAGCGTGAACACGCGTGGGCTCTTAACGCCCCAAAGCGGGACAAGCGTGAAAACACGTCTGCTCCTAACGCTCCAGAGAGGGACAAACGTGAAAATGGTTCCCTGGCGCTTTCCCTGCCCGTTCCGTGGCGCGTCTCTTGCCACGCTCCCCTGGCGCATCCCCTAGTGCGCCTCCTGGCACCTCCCGTAGCGCGTCCCTGCACCCTGCGCCCCGTGTCGTCTCGTCCCGCTTCGGAACTGAATCGGATCCTGAACTCGAGCTGATTGAGCGTCCAACACAGTACCATTGCAACCAGCCCTGAGCCAGCCATTCGCTAAAGCGGCTGGAGCGTAAGATCCAGATCGGTTCGGTCAGGACTCGGATTCCAAGGGCGACTTGGTCAACACCACTACAAAGCACAACGCGATTCATCGTGGCATGACGCATCCCCTTTCAGCACGGCACAGCACAGCAGACCCTCTGGCACGGTACATCACGACCGATGCCTTCAGCATTACCGCACACATCGTGCGGCGCGTTCCCTGACAGGTCCACCCGCACGTTCCGCGGCGCGTCCCCTGGCAAGTCACCGCGCGGCGCGGCACAGTGCAGAGCAGCACAACACAGCCCTTGGCACAGTATCATCACCATGCATATCTTCAGCACTGCCACTACACATCGCCTGCCCAAACGGATTTACGAGGGACCGTGACCCTCGGGCACGTTCCCTGGCACTTTTAATGTCTATCGGCGCCTCCTCTGTGCACGTTGCGCGGCACGTCCCCTGGCACGTCCGCTGGCACGTTCCGTGCCGCTTCCCCCTGGCAAATTCCGTGGCGCGTCCCCCTGGTACGTTCCGTGGCGCGTCCCCTGGCGCGTCCCCTGTGGCACGTCCACTAGCACGATCCGTAACGCGTCCCCTGGCACGTCACTTTGTGGCGCGGCACAGGTCAGCGAAGCACAACACAGCTCCATGGCACAATAGCATCACCATTGATATCATCAGCACTGGCACTACCCATCGCCCAACTAAGTAAGGTACTTGGAACGCCCCCAGGCCTCGCAGATCTAAATCCCGTTCCGGGTCCGTTGGTCGATCATGTTTACACAATTCGCGATGGCGCCCGTGAGCGGCCCCGCCCCCCCCTCTGGGTCACATCACGCTTCGCGCTGGCACCGTCTGGGAACCAGCCATCCCCAAGCAATCTCAGACGGCGCCGGCGCGAAGCGTGACGTGACTGGCCCCCTCTCCCCCTTCCCCATTATGACGGGCGTGACCCGACGGCGGGACTGTGTTTTGGATCCCTTGACGATATATATATATATATATATATATACATACATACGCATACATACATACATACCTACATACATACATACACACATGCATACGTACATACATACATACATGCATGCATATATGCATACATACATACATACATACATACATACACACATATACATACATACATACATACATACATACATACATACATACATACATACATGCATGCATGCATGCATGCATGCATACATACATGCATGCATGCATTACATACATACATCCATACATACATACATACATACAAACATACATACATACATAAATACATACATACATACATACATACATATATACACATATACATAGATACATAAATACATATATACATACATCCATCCATCCATCCATACATACATACATACACACATACATACATATACATACATACATACATACATACATACATACACACATACATACATACATACATACATGCATATATATATATATATATATACATACATACATACATACATGCATACATACATACATACATACATATATACATACATATGTATATACATACATACATACATACATCCATACATACATACATACATACATACATCCATCCATCCATCCATCCATACATACATACATACATACATACATACATATATGCATACATATATATATATATATATTTATATATAAATATGTATTAGTTTTATATATCCCTATTATATTTTATCACCTGGACCCCCCCTCCCCCCCCCTAAACTGGCCCCCCCCCTCCCAGGACACCCCAGACGCCCCTGCCCTCCACCCGACGAACGCCCTGGACGCCCTTTCTGAGTCCCGGCGGCCTTCCGGGCAGTTGGACGCCCCTGCCGATCGGAGCCCACGGGCCCAAAACGGGCCCCAAGACGGCCCATCAGCGCTGAAAGAGGACCCAATATGGTTTCAAGACGGAACCCCCAAGAGCCAAAACTCGTCCCATTCCCCATTCCCTGAGGAAACGTACGCTTTTGAAGATAGTAGTTTTTACGCTTTCACAGCGTCCACGGCATCCCCAGAGACTCTCAAGATCGCCCCAAGACGGCGTCCGAGGCCTCTATGACCGGCCCAAGGCAGCCCAAAAATGCTCCAAGACGGATCATGAGAAGCCCAAGGCGGCCCAAGAGGGGCCCCAGAGGGCGCTGAGAACTCTCAAGGCAGCCACAAGAAAGCCACAGGAGACCCCCAAGAGTGTCCCAAGAGGGCCCCCGAAAAGCCCCTGGCCGGCCCGGCCTCCCCAAACAGCCAAAAGACGGCCCTCTTCTTCTTCCCAAAGCAGGCTCGAAGCGTCTCAAGATGTATGTGTGAAACCTCGTCTTTACGCGAATGCGCGCTCAGCTCTGGGCACTTCCCGCGGTGCATTGTGCGGCCCAAAGGGCTCCAAGACGGCCCAAAACAGCCAAAAGGAGACCTCTGGTCCGGAAAGTCACCAGGAGCTCAAACGCGAGCCCACACCGTTCCAATATAGTTTCCAGCAGTTCTCGTACACTCCACGATGCCGTGGTTCGCAGGACGGTGGTTCGAAAGGACCTCAGAAACCCCACAAACGTCCAGGACCCCTCCAGGCGTTCAGGAAGCGACCAATCGTCGTCGCCGCCGTCGTCGTCGTCGTCGTCCTACGGAGGGGCAGGAGGTCTCGGCCTGTCATCGCGGGCTGCCGCCTCATTATTGCGTAGACCGCTAACTGACGCCCCGAGCGCTCGCTCCCGCAGCATGCCCGAGAGGAGGAGCAGGAGGAGCAGGAGGAGGAGGAGGACAGCGTACAGGGGGGTTCAGCTCCACTCTAAGAAGAAGGCGCGGCGGCGCCTGGCGACGACGCCGCACGAGTCGCGGTCGTCGACGGGCACGTAGGCGGCAGGGAGGCCGCACCAGAATGAAGAACAGACGTGGAAGAGATCCGATGCTGGTGATGCGCCGCGAGGGGAGAAGCAGGGGAGGAGCACGCAGCAGCAAGAGCAGAGCTCAACGGAGCGACGGACGAGGTGGGGAACGGGGGAAGCGCCAGCGGCATAGCGATCTTCGAGGGAGGGGAGCGAGGGGAGACGGCAGAGGGCAGCAGCAGGGAGGGCTCAAGGGACGAGGGAGGCAGATCGGGCGGGAGGGCAGGCGTGGCGCCGAGCGTGGGAGGACAGAGCGGGGCGTGCGGGGCGACGGAAGGCACGTGGGGAGACCCGGTCGGGGGGGGAGCAAAAGAAGACAGAGGGGCAGTCGAAAAGATGCATCGACGGGAAGGCCTGAAAGGCGAGAGCTCAGGGCGGGAAGGGGTCCACGACGCGGACCACGGGGAGGAAGGAGATAGACTCTGAGTCGACGGGCTGGCCATCAGGGTACAAGGGGAGCGCGAGGAAATCCCTGAAAATGTCATCGAAGAACATGAAGCCATTGGAGCACAGGGCGCCGAGGGAGCAGCAGCACGTACAGGAGTGGTCGCCAGAACACATCCCTGCCGAGAGCGTCGCACGATCAGAGACGGCACAGAGCCAGCGACCTTCCCCTCGCAATTTACTCTAGCCTGCGGCATAGGGTTCGAGGAGCACCCCTGCGCAGGACTTTGCGTTCTGATTGCCGTCCACCAGTGAGACCACTCCTCGCAATTCACTCTAGATGCCTGACACGACGGGCTCGAGGAGCACCCGACGCCAGGACTTCGCGCTCTAACCTCCCCAGTCGCAACTCCAGGAGACAGCTGCAGCAACTCCTCGCAATTTACTTTTGATGCCTGGACACCTGGGCTCGAGGAGCACCCATTGCCAGGACTTGGCGTTCTGACATTATCAGCACTCCACCACCGCGGTGATGAGGGTTCGAGGCCGTCGAGGTCGTCGCTGTGTCCGACTCTGGAGGGCGTCGCAATTAGGGTCGCTGGGGTACCAGGTGTGGAAGGAGTAGAGACACTGCCGTCATCGGTGTGGACCGTGGGGACAAGCCGCGGGGTGAGACACGGTGATCGACTATCATTCCTGCCCATGCCAGGTCCAGAGCACCATTCTTCATCAGTGTCGTCGCAGGGCTTGCTGTCCGAGGTCTGGCTCAGCGAGGTATGTCCATGACTGCCAGCGGCCACTCCATCACCGTCATAGGGATCTCCAGGTTGATCGGGATGCAGCCCTTCGTCCTCGACGTCGCTAGATGAGGTCGAAGAGGTCGTCGTGGGTTGTGGAAGGCGGCGGAGGATCAGTGCCTCAGGAGGCTGCCATTTCTTTTGCAATGAGCATCAGGCTTGGCCAACCTTAGGTTTCTGACTGCAGCTCTCGCACTTGATCGAAGGTCATTGGCGGTGACGTACAAACGAAAGCGCATATTGTGGTAGATGTTGAAGGCAACCGCCAAGGTTTCAACATGCTTGAGGCCAGGGAGCCGGAGCCCCAGGCGGTCAGGAAGGAGCGGATGCATCTCATATCCCAGCGCTTGGTACACAGCTGTCCACAGCGGACGGCATCGCATGTAATGGCACTGTCGATCGGCATGCGCACGGCAACCGAAGATACATGAGCGGGAGCCTCCAGCATACTTTATGCGCGAAGAGGTAAGCCATCCAGAGCAGTAAGTTTTTATGACTGGCATGGCCCAGCTCATGGGAACCAGCGAGAGAAGTCCACCAATCTCTGTCCACGCCACACGATCAAGAAACGGCTCCCATTCATGTACATATTTCAGAAGACGTCGCTGCACCAACGAAGCAAGTGGGAAGGGCGTCACTAGCATCTCCCGAAGAGCACGTGTGGCTGCACGTTGAGGCTTGGGCTTCCTGTCGGTGACCTGGAGCTCCTGGGCGATGGCCTGCACGCACGTGTTATTGATCTCGGGAGGGTCAGCCGCCTCTCTGCCTGATTGGAGAACCGATGCATATCCCAGCAGGAACGACGGGGATTGCCAGTGCGTGCCAATATGGTCAAGTGCATCTCCACGCGTTCGAATCGCCGCCAGTGGCGCATCATCATATCGGCCCTCCATGAGTGAATATCTCCATTCAGACTCCAGTTGTCGGAAGCGATCAAGAATGGTAGTGTGATTAGAGAACGTGACTAATGCAGCTCGAGCATAGGCAGCAGCGCACGAATGAAGCAGCAGAGGGACATGAGGGCCTCCCCATTCGCCAATTTGGGCCCAGCCAGCCGAGGTGAGCATACCGAGAGGGGCTCTGAAGACCTGCGCGAGAATCCCCAGTTCCAGAGCAGCGTGTCGTTGAGGGAGCGGAACACATTGGGCCACATAGGAGACCACTGAGAACACCCTGGACGAGTACAGTACACCGTTGATACTAGCGGGGGCAGCCCCAGACCCAAGCAGACGGGCCCGTAATTTGAGCTTCTGCAGCGGTGCGAGCCACTGCATGTCAACAGTGACGGCGGGGCCCAGCAGGAGGCCCAGGTAGAGGACGTGGGAGGCCACTTCGAAGGCGTGCCAGGCAGGGACGAGGCACTCCACGAGAGACATAGTGTGGAGCTGGAGGGACTCGGTGAACTCCCCCTTGGGCGGGACGATTTTGCACTTCATGGGCTTAAGCTTCATCCCTGTGAGGCACTCCGTGACCACCATCACATCATGCAGCACCTGAAGGTGCCTTGCTTCATACACCGCCGCCCCTATATCATCAGCACACGCTCGAGCAATACCATATCCAGGAGACTCCAGGGTATCCTCCAGCGCACAGAGAAAGGGGGCCGTGCCGAGGGCGCAGAGGCTCCCTGAGAGCCCACATCCTTGAATAATCCCAGACCGCAGCCAGTATATAGGGATAAGCTGGCCAGCATGGGCCACGACTCCTTGAATAGCGAGGTACAGCCACGAGAGGAACCGCATGAGGGGCCCAGGGAGCCCGAGCTTATTCATCAACATCAGCAGATACTCTTGGGAGAGACTGGGGAACGCCTGGCCATAATCAAACGAGACCAGGAGGGGGTCGCACAGGTCAGAGCGAGGGTGAGCTGCGGCAAGCCTTCCTATGCCGTCGAGTTCGATCACATTGTATCCGAAGTTACGGCCGACCACAAACCCCCTTTGCGAGCAGGGAACCACCTCCTCCACCACTTTACGGAGCGAACGATTGACAACAGAGGTCATGATTTCCAGGTCGGTGTTTCGCAGCCCGAGCACTCGAATTTTGTCAGCTGACCGCGCGCAGCCTCCAGAGGCCTCGTCCTCCTCCTCTGAACCTTTGGGCAAGAAGGCCTGCAACGTGACACTCGCGGCATCGAAGAGGGCCCCCCCGCCGAGCACCCAGTCGAGGGTGTTGCACAAGACGTCGACGCAGCAATCAGAGGCATTCCAGGCGGCATAGGGGATGCCGTCCACACCTGGGGCAGAGTGCCGTGCACCTCGCACAGCTCGACGGATAGCAGCTTTAGTGGGAGGTGGGACTTCGCATTGGATGGGGGCTTTCAGGTGATCCTGGAGGTAGGCCTCTATGCGGGGGCCTGGGACAGAGCCTCGGGAGAATGCAGGGCGCCAGTGGGTACTCAAAGCTTGAAACCGATCTTCAGGCGAGTGCGATAGGACGGGCCCGGACCGAACCGTCTGCAAGATGAGTCGGCGAGAGAAAGGGGCCCAGATGGCCGCCTTCCGTTCCAATAGCTGCTGACGACGGCGGGTGGAGAGGGGGCGGTGAGAGGCAGAGAGACCAGCGGCATGATCGGCATTGGCTTGCAATTCTTTTTCCAGAAGCCGCATGTGGACTCCGTCTGACCACGAATGAAATGATTCAGCATGTCGAAGACGAACTTGTGAGCCTTCAATTTGCAGTGCGTCTGATGCCCACTGCGATGTCGAAATAAGCCGCCGAGCCAGTGGAACGTCCTGTCGCCAGACGGCTCGAGCGCAGCTGCGGGCCACGATGATCGCCGTCTCATCACTCTTCGCCTTCAGCGTGAAGAGCATGTCGCGCACCTCCCGCGCAGCCTCTTTGAGCATCTCTTTGAAATGCTCCTGATAAATAGAGCCAGCATGTGCAGCAATAGCGTTCTGGCCATCAGCAACCATCCCCTCGATACGCTTCTTGAAGAGCGGGTCATGGAAGATGTGCCGCGGAATAGCTTGTTCTCCCCGAGGCCTGTGATGTCGCTGGCGCAACGTTGTCACCAGCGCGGCATGATCAGAAATTTGAGCACGGGACAACGCCTCTGGCTCACCGACCGTGGTGGATTCAGCATGAACCTGGCATAGCATCCATCCTGGTAGCGAACAAAAGAACCTGTCGATGCAACTGACAGAGTTGGTGTGCTTCGTATAGTGAGTAGCCGCCGACGATGAGACTTCAAGGAGCGCCCCCAGAGAGCGTAGCCAACGGGCAGCTTGGGCACGATGATTCCGAGGATCAGAAGCACGCGAAGGCAGCGGGCGATGGAGCACGAGGGCTTCGTCGGGGCCAAAATTCAGGTCGCCTTGCACAATGACCAGGTGGTGGGTAGGGTCAGACGCCGCCGCGACCCGATACCTGTCGATCTGCTCACAGACCATGTCCACCTGGGTGCTTGTGAGGCCGCGGTTGTGAATATTGAAATGCGCCAACTGAAAGCCACGTCTATGCACATCAACTTGCAGGACCCTTCCTGGGATGAGCGGCGTGGCACAGCTAGACGATGCTCCGTCAAGAGCGAGTCGAGGAAGAATGGTAGCGACACCTCCCGCACCCGATCCCCCTTGATCGACTGCACAAAATGAGGCGTGGACTACAGCATGGGCATGGGCCTGGAGCACGAACTGCTCCAGTTGGACACGATCGGCATGAACTTCCTGCATCGCCGGCAACGTGGACTGCAAGCGGATCTGCTGTAAATATCGCAACTTGGGGATAGCCTTCGCCCCTTGGTACTGCAGGAGCGCCCTCGCGTTCCAGGTAGCACATCTCAGAGCGGAGCCTCCATCCCTGGCTTGAGGAAGGTTGAACATCTGCATCATCTCGTTAAAGGCACCACTGCGGCGGCGGTGGTGGTGCGATGGTGGACTGAACCAGCTCACGGACCTCGTGCTTGGCGATGCCGACTTCACTGAGGCCCTCGTCGTTGTAGAAGATGTCGAAGGGCTGGTCGTCAGGCTGAGCGGAGAGCTTGAGGATGTGCGTCCACCCGCAGCGGAGGACACCACGCTCCCTGTCCACGACCCAGCGTCCGTCATATTTGCCAGCCATGGCCGTGCGAAGCTTCCTGAGCGCCATTTCCGTTTTAATTTGTTTCGGATTTTTGTCTGGTCCGAGATGGAGACGAGCGGGAGTAGAGCCTGACACATCAGCCTCGAAGATACGCCATTCATCGTTCTGCCTGAGATTGGATAAGACTTTGTTGACATACTTGGACGCGAGCCCCACACTGCCGTTGAATGAGACGAGGTACCTTCTGCTTGGCATCGGACCGGTGGACTTGATAGAGTATGACGATGCGTCCAAGCCCAACTCCGCCAAGAAGGGGGAAAGTGATGCACGCACAGACTCAATCCCAACCATCTTCGTGGCCATGGCGACGACAACCGAGGGGTCTTCCACGCGATCGAAGGAGGGCGGTGCCGTGGGAGCCTTCTCGGTGCGCTTGGCGACCATGAGCTCGCCGCGGAGCTCGTCCATCTGCTTACGTAGGTTGGCGATGTCTGCGGTGTGCTTCTCCACGTCAATCGAGAGCGTGTTGACGTGGGAGCCGAGGGAGTCAATCTTGGACTGTAGGCCGCGGTGAAAAGGAATCGATGTGTGGGCGAACAGTGGCCATAATCTGCTGGTCGACTTCTTTCGGCTGGGCCGTGATCTGGACGCGCAGGGATTCCAGTGTGTCGAGAATAGATTTGTTTGAAGATTGCACAGTTGCGCCGACGGTAGATCCAACCAGAGATTCCAGCTCGGACCGTAGTTCTCCAAACTGTTCAGCAACTGCGTTTGCTGCGACGTGCCTGATATAGTCATCATCATATTGAGGCTGCTGTAGTGGAGGCTGGGCAGGGTCACGATGGGCACCAGCAGGAAACGAGCCAGGAGTACACTGAGAATCGCCACGACCGCCGAAAAGAGCGGAGCCGACAGCCCCCGCCGCGCGGGCAGCCATGCCTGCGACTCCCTTGCCACTGGTGTTGCCGCCTTTGCCGTCCTCGGTGCGCGGGTACTTGTGCTCAGGCGAGCCCCGATCATGACGGCCATCAGCATGATCATCCTCAGGAAAGGTGGGCATGTCATCGAGCTCCTGGGCAACCTTGGCGAGCGAAGCAGCATCGGGAAACCCCATGGTGACAGCGGCGCTCGACAGCACAGGAACGGGAAACACCTCCGTTTACCCGTGGAGGCGAGCGACAGGATGAGGAAGAAACTCTGCCAGACCGCCAAGGGTCTTGCCAGCCGCGGACTAGCGGTATCCACTTGTTCCCCTGTGGAACCAAGCATCTTGAGCCAAAATGGCTACGGAGGAGGAGGAGGAGGAGGAGGAGGAGGAGGAGGAGGACGACGACGACGACGAGGAAGGGCTACGTTTCTGAGCGCTTTTGGTCCCATTGGGAGTTTCCAGAGGCCCTCGAGAGACGAGCGCCCCATCTGCAGTTCAGACGAGAGCCCCATCGTCGTCGTCGTCGTTGTCGTTGTCGTCGGCGTCGTCGTCGTCGTCGTCGCGGTGGTGGTTGTGGTCCTGCCCTCCCCACTTCTGCGCACAGGCGTGCAAGCCCATCGGGCGAACGCAGTGTTAGCAAGGTCCAGGGATAGCAGAAAAATGAGCCAGTCGCCCGTCCAGACCTCGACGCCCCCTCTGCTGAAACACGCGATGACTTATTGCTTTTCCGAGAAGTGTCCGGAACAAGGCGCATGGCGCGAAGCGCCAATGCAGCCTTGTATGTATGCATGTGTATAATCTCATGCCCGTGGGAATAAACACTAGGGGATAATAAAGTTCGGGGTTCAGGGAGAGATAATAAAAGTAGCCCAGCAGACCTCAGCATAATCTCGAAGTAAGAGATGATCAAGAGGCGGCCAAGCCTGTTGCTGTTTTCGCTTGAGACATCCTTAAGAAACGCATCGCTTCGCTTCAGAAATCTATATGTTTGTTTCGCTTCGAACATTCTCGAGTATATGCTTGTTTCGCTTGAGACATCCTCGGAATAGCTCATCCGCCTCGGCGTCCCTAGATAATCAACGGCGGCGATAATAAAGTTCAGGCGGGCGGAGGAATGGAGGAAACTATATATAAAAAAGAAAAATAAAAAGAATAAGTAATAAAATAAAAGAAATGATAGGAGGAGGAGAAGGAGGAAAAGAATAAAAAAAACTCGAGTTTCAAATCTATTAGATTTTGTTTACAAGCGCTTTATGAACATTGTTTTTTGTAAGTGCTCGTGTAGGGTAGCTCATGTGCCTCAATTTCCATGGATAATCAACCCCAGAGATAAAAAAAGTTCAGGCGAGCGTGGGGACAGAGAGAAATATAAAAGAAGAAGAATACAGTAGAATAATAATAAGAAAGAAGAAGAAGAGGATAATAAGAAGAGGACGAAGAAAGGAAAAATCCAAAGTTCCAAATCTATCAATTTTAATTTACAAACGCTTTATGAAAATTGATGTTTTTAAGTGCTCGTGTAGGGTAGCTCATGTGCTTCATTTTCCATGGATAATCAACCCCAGGGATAAAAAAGTTCAGGCGAGCGTGAGGACAAATAAAAATGTTGCTATCTCAACATAGCGTTTCGAGGTGATAATGAAGTTCGGCCTCAGCGCTCGCCGCCCAATTTGAATTTTGTATAGGGCGACGATAATCAACTCTAAACACTGAAGGGGGGGGGTCCCTTTATTATCATCGGCATGCGGTTATATATATATATATATATATATATATATCGCCAATGGTTCCAAAACGCAGTCCCGTGTGCTGTCGCCGCAGGAAGAAGCCACGGCCAAGGCTCTGGCAGGCCAAAACCCTCCTGGCACACTGGCTCGTGCAGTGTGCGAGCCCCGAGGACCCGACCCTCCAACACCCAGGACCCCTCCTCCTCCTCCTCCTCCTCCTCCTCCTCGTCTCAACGAAGCTCGCTGTCTTGATGTGTGCGAACGGCGCCCATGCACGGTGCGTGTCACGTTTGGCCTCCCTTCAGGACCCGCTCAAACGCGGTGCGGTTCACAGTCTTCCGGCTCGGAGGTCCGAAAACCGATGCCCTGCGCACCCTTCCAGGGTCGAGGAGTGACGGCGCCTCGCGAGACGCCACCGCGGTACGGTTCAGAAAGGTCGTCCGCGTATGATGGCCTGGAGGCCGAGCACGCCCCCTGAGGGAGGGCAAGACGAAAGAGGAACGCCGCAATTGCAAGAGCAACACGAAATTGAGGAAACGTCTTTGAACGCCACATTACCCTGGCTTCCGGCGCGAGATGAATCGAGGCCAACAACTGCGCTTCCCGCGCCGTTTCCGGCGAACCTGGCGAATCTGACGGAATCCGGCGCAGAATTCCAGACCGTGGAGCATCCTCGCAGAATCGGTACCATGGGAGAGGCCAAGCATGTTTCCTGCACCGCTTCCAGCGACGACCGTCACAGAAAGAACGCAATGCCCAATCCTGAATACAGAAACTGGGGAGACCCAAATGGTCCCGATACAGCTACTCCCTGGACCTCTCCTGGGGTGCGTTCTGACCAGACTTTCAAAGCGAATGCAGCGGTGGCGACGAGGGCCTCCCAGGAATCCCAAAACGTCGAAAACGAGGCAAGGGTAGCGGTATGGGTATCTTCTCCTTTGAGAAACCCACGGTCCACCGCAGAGCAGCCAGCTACGGCAGGTTCGTGCGGCGTCGGCACGTGCAAAGGCTTTAAACACCGCGTCGATCGTTCAACCTTGATTTGATCGCAGCCCCGATTGTTCAAGGTTGAATTCTGTCTGGTCCAATGGCATCACCGCGTCCCTCGGTGCTTCCACGTCGCAGAATTCAACCTTGAACGCCTTCGCTGGCGTCGCCGCTGCGCCAATGCCGCATGAATCTACCGTAGTCTGGAGGGCTGGGGGCACGGCCTTGTAGTGCTGCGTCACCAGCTTGCCCTTGAACAGTTCGTGGCGGGTGGTGCGCGCCTCGGCGACGGGCGTGGGCACCATGGAGAAAGCGGGCACCCAGGCTGGCATGCAACAGAATAGCCCCGCCCCGCTCCTGAAGCTTCCCGCGCCCCTCCTTGTCCTCCTTCCCCTCGTTAACCTCCTCCTCGTCGTCGTCCTCCTCTTCCTCCTCCTATAATTATCACCACGACCACCGCCACCACCACCACCTTCACCACCATCATCATTTTCATCATCATCATCATCATCATCATCATCATCATCAGCAGCAGCATCATCATCATCATCATCATCATCATCATCATCAGTATCATTATCAGCATCATCATCATCACCACCATCATCATCATCGTCATCACCATCATCGTCATCATCATCATCATAAACACCAGCATCAGCATCAACATCAGCATGATCATCATGATCACCATCATCATCATCATCATCATCAGCATCATCATCATCATCATCAGCATCATCATACTCAACATCATCATCATCATCATCATCGTCATCATCATGATCATCACCATCATCATCGCCATCATCATATTCTACAGAGTCATCACCCTGTTATTCGTTCATCAGTATCACCACCATAAACAATAATGATCATCAGCATCACCATGATCACCAACATCTGCATTATCAGCATCGACATCATCAGCATCATCATCAGCATCATCATACTCAACATCATCATCACCATCATCACCAGCATCATTAACAGCATCATCATCAACAGCATCAGCATACCCATCATCATCATCATCATCATCAACATCATCATCGTCCGCATAACCAACATCATCGGCATCGGCATCGTCATCGTCATCATCATTATCATCATCATCATCATCATCATCACAATCCCCCGTTATCCGATGTGTGCCTCATAAGCGTGCTCCCTTTCCCCGCATACTCCCTCCATCCTGACCTCCCCTGTCAGCGTCTTCCACCCCCTCGTCTTCAACATCGTTTTCATCATCACTTCCACAACCAACACTAAAATCATCACCATTGTCGTCAGCATCGCCATGACAACCACAACCACCACCACCACAACTACCAACACAACAACCATTATCACCGCCATTACTACCGTCATCACAATTACCATCGTCATCACCATCACCATCAAGACCTTGCATCCGTTCCCCCGCCCCTCCTCCTTCCCATCCCGTCCTCAACGCATCCATCCGCCCACTCGCCCGCCATCAAACACCCCATACACCGCCCGGCGTGTACACCATGTTCTCTCCCTCCCTCCTTGCCCCGTTTCACTCCCGCCTCGTCCACCTCGTCCTCCACAGACCCAGCGTCCTCCTCGACTCTTCCCTCCTCTCCTCCCCGCTGTGGCACGACAGCGGCTTCATTCCTTCCGCGAGTGGGTTCACCAGCAGGCGGTGTTGGGCTGCGGCGCGTTGCATCGGTTTGCTCGAGATCCCACGGCTGAAGTATCTGAAGTCGAGTCGGAGGATCTACGTCGTGCGACGCAGCTTCTGTGATGGAGGCCAAGGCGGCGGTCTGGTCGGCGCCGTGGTCGCCGCAGGGCTTCGACGACTGCCAGGCGCTTAAGGTGCTGAACCGAGCTCGCCAACTGGCGCTCCAGGACGAGCTGGAGCCCCTCACGCTGGACCAGCTGGAGGAGGCGCTGCGCTGTGTGCCGCCTCGCAAGGCGCGAGGCGTCGAGTCGGTCGGGCAGAGGGACGTGTGGTGGCTGCCTGAGTCTGGCCGCCGTGAGTTGCTTTGTTTCATCATATTGAAGCCAAGGTTGCTTGACCTTGGCAGTGGCTGACAGCCATCATCGTTCTTTTGCGCAAACCTGATGTGCGTAAGGATCGCGCCATAGGATTGCTCACTTGGCTGGGTCGTTTGTGGAGCCGCATGCGGTCTCGGCCTGCGGAAATGTGGGCTTCGGCTCGCTCTGGTCCTTGGGACGCCGCGGTTCGAGGCAACACCGCTTCACGAGAGGCTCTGCTCAGGTGTTATGCTGACGAGGCGGCTCTTGCCTCTGCTCTGCCTGAGTATTGTTGTGCCTCAGTGTTGTGGGACGTTGAAGCTGTTTATGACACGATAAGGTGGGCGCGTGTGGTCGATCATGCGATCGATCTCGCTTTCCCCCCGCACCCTTTGGCCTTGGAAAGCATTCTCCACATGGGTCCTCGGCGTCTGCGGGATGAGGGGGTTTTCGCTACTCCCATTATTC